TACGTAGAAAAATAATTAATTTGTTATAAAATACCTTGAAAAAGGGAATATATTCAGTCAATGTATTATCTATTAGCGTATATCTTGTATAAGTCAACACGCTAGCGATTTTTATATTACTTTGTTCGATACATTTTTTTAATACGGACACCGGATATCCGGTGATGCCAATAAATTTTGCTTTACCCTCTGCGACTTGCGTTGATAGTTCCGGTAAAGTTTGTGTAATCACTATGTCCAAATTTGGAGCAAATTCAATATCATGGACCTACGAAATATTTCAACATGATTAATAAACGAATAAAAAATAGTGAGAACTAAATTCACTCACTTGGATAACATCCACGTAGTCCAAGCCTAAGAGTTCTAAACTCTTCTTCAAACTATTTCTAGTTTTCTCTTTCGAGAAGTCGAACATATTTTCGTAATTTAATTTATATCTGCCTACCTTTGTAGCGATATAATAGGCTTCACGTGGAATGCCTTTAAGTGCCTGTAATTAAACAATTTGAATAGAAAATGAGAGAAAATTCGGTTCTTATGAGAAGAAATTGCATTTACAGAAATTCTTCCCTAACATTTAAATGTAAATCGACGCAGCATGAAATGAGAATCTCAGTTTATTTGATTGTTTTACTTTTATGGTGTTAGACCAATTTAAATTAATAGAAGTATGTTTTGAATTTGTACATTAGTAATCGTGAAGTGTTCAATTACTTTGCCAAGAACAGTTTCAGAACGGCCTTGACCGTACCATGGCGCGGTGTCAATGTAATTAATCCCCTGCTTTATTCCCTGTCGTATCGCCTCGATAGCTTCGTTCTCGTCAAATGTACTATCAGCCAATTAGAATAGAAATAGAAAAAGAGAGATATTTGTTATTCTCAGAACAGCTCTGATAGTATAAAGTAAACGCTGTTTTAATTAAGCGTGTATTTTATTTCTTAAAACTCTGAAGCTCCACAATGACTGACCCGTAATGACAACCGAGTGTTCCACCGCCGAGCGATAGTTTACTGACTATCAATCCCGTTTTACCAAGTGGTCTGTATTCCATCTTTTGCACGGCTTCCAGATCGTGGAAACCCTCGATGTACGTTGGCGGTAACATTTTCCTAATTGAAATGCATTTAGAATTGAAATAAATATAAATACGTGATAAATGCTATGAGTTTTTCGCACAGATTTGATAGAATTGTAGTCTAAAATAGAAATTCGAAAGCGAAAACGCGGTCTTATAGTAAAACGAAAACCGGTTATACTTCTGTTAGTTTCTTTTATATTTTCGTTTTAATTAATAAGGAAATGTGTATGTGACACAAGATTAAAAAGTTTTCAAAGTTTCGCCAGCAACACACTTTGCAACTTGATGATACCCAAACCAGTTGTTGCTTACACTATTCGTTACTTTTATTTAAAATCGCTTTAAACAATTGCTGAAACATGGGATAGACAGGGATAGCAAATGCTTAAGTCTCTGTTTCCTGTACAAGACAGGAACTGGAAATATGGGATAGACAGGAATAGCAAATAGCATAAAACGATCTTAAAAATAAGCAACTACTCTGAATACCGGCTTATTTAAAATTGTCAAATAATGTAATTATGAGCATTTATTTTATATTTTTGACTTTTAAGGGCAAGCGCACTTGAAATAAATGCGATATTATTGTCACATGAACGGTTTTATAATCAGATAACACTTGCATTTCAAGATAACACTATCAACGTTTAAATATATCACTCGATAACTATGCACTGTATTAAAATGATTTTACAATTAATTAGAAGTTGAACGTATTATATCAGAGAGAATTTCTCTCTGATTATATTATGTACAAATAATTTGAAAATATTATTC